CTCTTTCCATCTGTAAAAGGGGCAAATACCACTAACTTCCAAGGTGCACTATGGCATTCACTACATACCCAAACTGATAACTGATGCACGCAGAAAAAAAGCTTCTAACTTCAAAATCCCATAAAACATAAGAGTAGAGGAGAGAATATGGCAGTAGCTAAAAGCGGCAAAGGGATGGGTAAAAGCTTTGTGGGAGGCGATCCTTATTTTCATTTTAAAGAGGCTGGTACATGTTAGGAGGGGAAAAAGGAAGAAGCCTGTGGTGAGGGAGAGACCAAAGGGATGAGGGCGTATCAGAGAAGAAACATTCAAAGGGTGTTTGGGGCCAAGGAGTAGATGGTATTTTTTTGAAGCTGGAGGGAGGATTGGGGAGAGAGAAGTTGGGTGGAGCTGAGCATTGACAGCTGCTTATCAAAGGCACCCTGGTTTTCATTCCCAAGGGAATAAGAAAAAGGACAACACCTCTTTATGCTGAGCAGAAATTTATGGTTTATTAAATGCTGTTGCAGACATGACCACACTTAATTACTCTTCCTGACAACCCTGGCAGTGAGGTGCTCTTAACCCTGGTTTGTAATATGAAAACTGAGGCTCAGAGCGGTAGGGGGCCGTGCCCAGGTTCCATAGCTGGGAAGCAGCAGTGTGGTCTCGGATTGGAACCCCTGGATCCCACAGCTGTTTGGCTGGGTCTTCTTTCCTCCCTCACCGTCTCTTCAGACTGAAACTCAGCCCTTCCCAGGGGCTATGCCGCTCCCTCCCTCACTGACTCACTGGGAGGGGCCCCGGTCCTTTACTCCCCAGAGCCAGTTTCTGACCTTTAAGTCTCCTCCTTCTCTTCAATGCCTGCGCTAAAATATCCTCCTCGCTGCTTACCTTTCCCAGCCTCTTCCCCTCTGTGGATGAAGCTGTTAGAGACACAGGCACGTTATGGTATCAGGGTGAGGGCTACTCCAGGACACCCTTGCCCTGCCACTCCCCACAGCAGAACATGAGCTGTGCTGTTTCCTGAGGCCTGCCAGTGCCCAGGGTCCTCAGGCAATTTCAGGATGGAGCGCCAGGCTTAGCCCAGAGGCCTGAGGTTCTTGTGCTCCCCCTAAGTCTGTCTTTGTCTGGGGATGTTTCCTCCTGCTCAGTAGCTGACTAGAGAACCAAGGTGACCATACTGAGGTATGAGTGTGAGGAGGAGAGGGCCACATTCTTGCGTGTCATGTGTTTTTACGCTCAGTGACCCTTCTCACAAGTAAGCTTGGCCTAACCATCCTGGAGTCCGACCAATCAGATTAGTATTCCATCCTCTGAAGAGGAGGAGCTGAGAGGTTGGAAGGGAGACTTTCTTGGTTTGGGGAGTTGGGAATAGCCTATCTCTGCCGGTCACAGCAGTGGCAGCTGGAGACATCTGTCACTCCCTTTCTCTCATCCCCCAACATCTATATCCCCATCTCCAACTCATCCAAAGCCATGACTTGAACCCCTGGACCTTTGCACCAGCCTCCCCTCCATTCTCTCCCCTCTGAAATCCATCCCTTACCAGCACCCAGAGCAACCCCCTGGGGAAAAAAAAAAAAGAAAAAGAAAGGACCAGGTCATTCTCTCAGTCTTGCAGCAAGGTTGATGGCAAGGGACACCAGTAAAGATGACAGAGTTCTAGGAGTCTGGAAGGGGACCCAAGCCTATCTCTGTTGCCTGCCTGGATAAATTCCACATAGAGATCTTAGCTGGCCCAGAATAGCTGGAGAGCCTGAGCAAATTTTTTTATCTTTCATTTATTTATTTATTTTGGAGAGGTTTTTGCTATAGGGTATGTGCACTCCCCGGAAAGACAGAGAGAGACAGAGAGACAGAAAGCAAGAAATCACCCCCAGGGGGAATGGCCACTCCGCAATCCCTTCTCCTCCATTCTCCTCTTGGGATTTTGGGCACGTATGCACACACGCCCGGCGTGAGTTTAAGCCACCAGGTCCAAGACTCGAACTGCGGTCGACTACATGGGAGTCCAGCGACATAGCCATTATGCTAACTGCTGATCCTAGCCTGAGCAAATTTTAAACCAGACCTCACCCTTACTCTTGGAGGGCTGCCTTCTGGGGCTCCCCATGCCTTGGCCCTTCACTTCACCCCCATCCTAGATTCTAAATTATCACTAGTTTTTATTTACCTTAATAAGCCTTCCTAGGCCCAGTCTTAGTGATGCGGGTGGTTGTATACGGAACTGCAATGCCAGTGCCGGAAGTCAGTTGACTGACCATGGGGCCAGATTTCAGGAAGATATACATGTAGGGTGCATGCCCCCAAGATCCTGACAAAATAGAGGGCTATGAGGTCACAGCTTGATAAGACCCTCTTAAGGGTGACTTTCTTCCTTTCATAAATAAACTACACATACCCTTTCAGCCTTTGTAGGCAAATTCATCCCCCGCAAGTATATTTTCCAATCTTCCCATCTGCAAACTCTTATTTGCCCTTCAGAACTCAGACAGGCTTTGCTGTGAAGCCCTTTCAGACCCTCACTGGACAGACCTGTCGTCCTAGAACCACATGCACACTCCTCTCCTCTGCTACACAGTTGGGCTGCTCCTCTGTGCCCAGAGGTGTCAGTGCTCATTGGTTACAGATGATGGTGGCTTGGCCTAGAGTGGAAAAGGAAAGCAGACAGCTGAGAATGGGAAGGAAACCAGTGTGAGGAGGTGATAGGTGGGCTGTGGGGGTGAGGGAGGCTGGTGTCAGGTGGCTCCGAGGTTCCTGACTAGGGACTCCCCTTCCCTCTCAAACCAAGAGTTCCTTGAAGGTGGAAATGTATCTCATTTACTTCATCCCCTGCCCCATGCAGGCCTGATTGAGGAAATTCCTTCAGAACTGGGCAGGCCTGAGCCTGCCTAGAGAATAGTATCAGTGAGTCCAGCCAGGACGGGTTAAGGAAGACAGCGATCAAGCCAGGCCTGGCAAGCACTGGTGGGTGTTGTGTTCAGGAACTTCCTTACAAGGTGCCTCAGTTGTGGGCTAGCTTCTCCCAGCCCTCTCCTTCTGTAGGTGGGCCAATGCCCAGTGGCTGGGGTTTGAAAAACTTCTTGGAGACTTCGGACTACAGTGCTGAGAACCCCATGACCTCGGTGAAGTCCATTCTCCCTGGGAAAGAGAAGAGGGCTGTCTTTTGGGTCTCCCCATTATCATGTCCTGGTCAAGCTTGCTCTCTCTTCCCCTTAAACACACACACACACACACACACACACACACACACACACATTAAAAGGTCATAGTCACCAAGCGAAAGGGCCACCAGACAGAAGTATTGGTTGGAGGCGTCCCTGGAGCCCTAGCTGTGCCACTCATGGCTGTGTGAACTTGAACACAGAATTTGAGCCACACGCCTTCGTTTCTCCTCTGTTATGGGGCATAATAGCATGACCTCACAGGCCTGTTGTGGGGAGTAAACAATGGGAAGCATGTGAGCTATGTCTGGTAGTACCCAATAAATGTGAATTGTGGCTGTTAGCATTGCCAGCCGGTTATGTTATTATCGATCCTTGCATATCCATTAGAAAAACAGAAACCTGGGTCAGGGCCTGACTGGTCTGGCAGGGGGCCCAGGGGAGGGAAGGGGGCCCCCAGCCTGGGGCAGGAGAGTAGAAGTGAGGTCATCTGCTCAGAGCTTTTGGTCTGGGGGCTGGTAGGGACCATGCAGGGACTCAGAAGAAAGAAGAGAGAGGAAAGACAGGGAATTTGAGAAGAAATACAGCCAAAGAGGGAAAGGGACAAAGAGAGAAAGAGCCACAGCTGTGGCCAGGGAACTAGCTCCCAGGGAACAGAAAGCCTGCAAACCGGTCTGGGCAGTCCCTGAGCCAGGGTGGGTCAGCTGGTATGGGCCGGTATCAGGAGGGAGCAGCCTGGCCTCAGTACCACTGCCCTTGGGCGCTGCCCGAGGCTTCCTCTCCCAACCTGGAAGGTGTTGTTAGGGGCTCTCCACGCCTGGCCTTTCTGGGTCTGGGAGAGATGAAAACTGCTTTAGGGAAAATGGAAACACACACTTTATTGCTACCAAGTCATACCACGTAACCTCGTAACCTCCTAAACTCCGGCAGAGCTGGATTTCAAGATCATTGAATGGGAAAGGACAGTCTTTCAGCAAGAGGTGCTGGGGAAAGTAGGTATCCACATAGAGAAGAATGAAGCCCTTAGAAGAAAACATAGTGGGGAGCAGATGTGGCAGTGATTTCTTGGTTATGAAATGACACCAAAAACACAGACAAACAAAAGAAAAAACTAGATTTTGATGAAACTCAAAATGAGAAATTTTGTGCTTCTAAGGACACTGTCAAGAGAATGAAAAGACATTCCGGAAAAATTAAAGAAATATTGGTAAATGATACAAGTGGATATGATAAGGAATTGATATCCAGAATCCAGAAAGAACCTCAAATTCAACCACAAAAGCATGCCAATTCAAAAATGGGCAAAAAAGAGGCCAGACCATGGTACAGCGATAACGCAACACTCTGCAAGGCTCGCCCCCGTGGGAAGGTTCCCAGTTTGTGCCAGAGACCTCTGTGAACATACCCGGCACGTGTGTGCCCGTGATCCAGGGCTGGCTGAGTCTGGGGATGGAGCACAGCGTGAAGACCCTGTTGGGGATGCCCCTCTCTCTCTGTCTCTCTCTCTGTCTCTCAGAAGAAAAAAAGAACGGAAAAAATTGTAATGGGCTAAGAGGAGGCAGCACGTGGTGTGGTAGTTGGGGCACTGGACTCTCACATGGCCGACTGTGTTTCAAGTCCTGGACCTGGTGACTCGCTCTCTCTCTCTCTCTCCTGAGTGCACATGCCCCATAGCAAATTTTAAAATTATAATAATGAGGAAAAAAATTAAGTAAATAATTATCTTTTAAAAAATGGGCAAGGAGTAGGTGGCATGGTGTTAAGGGCGCTGGACTCCTACATGGGCCGACTGTGGTTTGAGTCTCGGACCTGGCAGCTTGCTTTCTCATTTTCCCTCTCTCTCTCTCTGTCTTTTTCTAGTCAAATTAAAATAAATAAATAAATAAAGATAAATCAATATTTATTTTTTAAAAAAGAATGGGCAAAGGATTTAAACAGACATTTCTCTAAAGAAGATATACAAATGGTCAAGAACGATATGAAATGTTTAATATCACAAGTCATTAGAGAAATGCAAATCAAAACCTTAATGCTATACTGCTTCCCACCCATTACGAAGGCTTTTACCAATAAAACAGAAAATAAATGTTGATCAGGATGTGAAGGACTGTCATGCGCTGCGGGGGGGAATGTAAAATAGTGCGGTAGCTGTGGAAAACAGTTTGGTGATTTCGCAAGAAGTTAAACATTGACTTATGATCCATCAGGTTCATTCTTAAGTCTATACAGTGAGGCAAAATAATCAGAATCAGAGACTCAAAATGACACCAAAAACACAGACAAACAAAAGAAAAAACTAGATTTTGATGAAACTCAAAATGAGAAATTTTGTGCTTCTAAGGACACTGTCAAGAGAATGAAAAGACATTCCGGAAAAATTAAAGAAATATTGGTAAATGATACAAGTGGATATGATAAGGAATTGATATCCAGAATCCAGAAAGAACCTCAAATTCAACCACAAAAGCATGCCAATTCAAAAATGGGCAAAAAAGAGGCCAGACCATGGTACAGCGATAACGCAACACTCTGCAAGGCTCGCCCCCGTGGGAAGGTTCCCAGTTTGTGCCAGAGACCTCTGTGAACATACCCGGCATGTGTGTGCCCGTGATCCAGGGCTGGCTGAGTCTGGGGATGGAGCACAGCGTGAAGACCCTGTTGGGGATGCCCCTCTCTCTCTGTCTCTCTCTCTCTCTCTCAGAAGAAAAAAAGAACGGAAAAAATTGTAATGGGCTAAGAGGAGGCAGCACGTGGTGTGGTAGTTGGGGCACTGGACTCTCACATGGCCGACTGTGTTTCAAGTCCTGGACCTGGTGACTCGCTCTCTCTCTCTCTCTCCTGAGTGCACATGCCCCATAGCAAATTTTAAAATTATAATAATGAGGAAAAAAATTAAGTAAATAATTATCTTTTAAAAAATGGGCAAGGAGTAGGTGGCATGGTGTTAAGGGCGCTGGACTCCTACATGGGCCGACTGTGGTTTGAGTCTCGGACCTGGCAGCTTGCTTTCTCATTTTCCCTCTCTCTCTCTCTGTCTTTTTCTAGTCAAATTAAAATAAATAAATAAATAAAGATAAATCAATATTTATTTTTTAAAAAAGAATGGGCAAAGGATTTAAACAGACATTTCTCTAAAGAAGATATACAAATGGTCAAGAACGATATGAAATGTTTAATATCACAAGTCATTAGAGAAATGCAAATCAAAACCTTAATGCTATACTGCTTCCCACCCATTACGAAGGCTTTTACCAATAAAACAGAAAATAAATGTTGATCAGGATGTGAAGGACTGTCATGCGCTGCGGGGGGGAATGTAAAATAGTGCGGTAGCTGTGGAAAACAGTTTGGTGATTTCGCAAGAAGTTAAACATTGACTTATGATCCATCAGGTTCATTCTTAAGTCTATACAGTGAGGCAAAATAATCAGAATCAGAGACTCAAATAGATACTTGTATACCAATGTCCATAGCAACAATAGCCAAAAGGTGGAAATAAGCCAATGTTTATCATTCACATATGAATGGATAAACGAATATGGCCTATCCATACTGTGGAACATTACTCAGCTATAAAAAGGAATGAAATACTCACACATGGTACATGATAAGTGAACTTGGAGCATATTATGCTAAGTGAAATAAGACACACACAGGTACTCAGGAGGCTTGAAAAACACACCAGGCATGTGTGAGTATGTGCCCCAAATCCTGACAGAGGAACCAGCAGATCGTGTAATGGTTATGTCTCTGGATTCACATGCAGTTGACCATGGTTCGAATCCCAGACCCGATGGCTTAAAACTCATGCTGAGCTCGTGCTCAAGAGGAGAATGGAGGAGAAAGGTTTGCAGCGTGGTCATCCCCCATGAGAGGTGATTTCTCACTTTCTGTCTCTCTGTCACTCCAGTGAGCGCACATACCCTATAACAAAAATCTCTCTTAAAAAACAAAAATGAAAAAACAAAGAAACAAACAAATCCTAACTGAATGAGGAAGGGACTGTGGCATGACCATGCCCCACTTGGAGGGGTGCTTTCTCCCTTTCCCTCTCCGTCTGTCTTTAACAAGCATACACACCCTCTGGCAAAACTTTTTAAAAAGAAAATAAAAGTAAAAAGAAAGAAAAAAACGTACGTGGATTTCAAAACATTTTTTGCACCAAAATAAATTAACACTTTGGTTTATCCACAAACATTTTGAAGAACATTTTTTTTGACCCCTTTACATTTCGTTTTTTTCTAAACAAAAATGAGATCCTTTCCCACATGCCATGTTGTAGCTTTTGTTTTCACTCCATAAAATATCTTTCCAACATCCTTATTGACTTTGCAAATGTGTCATTTAAAGAACTTCTTAGGACACGTCCGCATTTTGTCACTGTATGGGTTTCTGCAGTGGAGTAACTGGGATGCCCTGTCTTCTGGCTCAGTCAGCATACTGAATTTAGTGTGGAGGTGACCTTGATGTCATAAAGGGATTCTCGCAGTACCTTCTCCAGTTGCTTTAGAATATAAGGATTCTATGGCAGGGAAAAAAAGAGGTGGGGAGCGTGCCTCAATCCTTCTGAGAGCTGCACTGAGAATTTGTTGCAGAAGTATTGAAGGCTCTGAGTAATCCTTCAATAAAGAATTTTATTATTTATTTATTTTAGGTTTTTGCCATATGGCTCATGAGCTTACCAGAGAGAGGCAGTGAGAGGGAAGGTGAGAACCCCTCCCCCCAAACGGGGATGGCCATGCCACAATCCCTTCTCTATTCTCCTCCCAGGATTCTGTGCACACACACAATGTACCAAATGTGATTTTCAAGCTTCGAAGCTCGGGACTTGAACCACGGTCAGCTATGTGGTAATCCAGCCTTTAACTATCACACTACCTGCTGGTCTCAAGGAATTTTATTTTTAAGTTTATTTATTTATACCATGAGAGATAAAGACAGAGACAGACAGACAGTTACCTCCAACACAATCTTCGCACCATGATCCCCCCCTCATCTCAGCTGGGCCAGATCAGGTTGTGTGTCTGCCGCTGACATGTTCAGGGAGATCCCAGACACAGACACAAGACCTTTCCCATGTGGCTTTAGTTGTGTTACCATTGTGTAACCTCCTAGCCCCAGAAATTGGCTTAACTTTGTTTAATCCAGTTGTCTCATCTTATATGATCACTGAAAACTTGGGCCATGTAACAAAGTGTCATGGTTATTTGATAAGAACATGTGTCAATCATTGAGTGCAAAACACCCCTAGGAAATACCATAGTGAGGCTTTTTTTTTGTTTTTGTTTTTGTTTTTTCCTTTTAGTTTGCTATAGGGCACATGCCCTTGCTGGAGAAAATGGGGTGGGAGGGGGTGGAGTGAGGTGTGAGGGAGTGAGAAATCACCCTCCAGGGGTATAGCTATGCTCAATCCCTTCTCCTCCATTCTCTATTAGGGATTTTGGGCATGCATACATAAGCGTCTGGTATGTTTTTCAAGCTGCCATGTCCAGGACTGAAGTTGCTCAGTCCAGGACTTATGTCGGATCTAGCTGCCTTAGCACCCATACCATCTGCTGGCCCATCATAGTGAGGTTTTAACTGAAATGGAAAAAGCCCACTTTTCTGACTGGTGGGTTTTCAGGATGTTGCCACCTAAAGATGTTGGGAGCTCTGTTTTATTTTTAAAATATGATCCAGCAGTTCCACTCCTGAGTATTTATCCAAAGGATAGGAGAATGCTTAGTCAGAAAAGTGCGTGCACATCTATGTTTATTGTGGCATTATTCACAATTGCTAAGATATGGAACTGACCCAAATGTCCATGAACAGATGAATGGATTGAAAAAGTATGGCACATATACTCTAGGGAATACTACTCAGCTGAAAAAGCAACAAGATCCTGGCATTTGATAGAAAGTGGATGAATATGGAAGATTCATTGCTGAGTGAAGCTCATCAGGCTATGAAAGAGAGACATTGTATATCTCCACTTAATATGTACCAACTGTCCACACTCTACAGCAGAAACTGGAAACATTTAGGAAATTCAAGCTAATTACTTAAGATGTTCAGGGCAAAACTGCCTAACTTTCATGGCATGGATCTTACCTGTGACAAAATGTGTTCAGTGGTCAAAAACGGCAGATCATGATTGAAGCTCATGTCGATGTCCAGACTACCAATGGTTATTTGTTTCATTTCTTCCTTGTTGGGTTTACTAAAAAATCAATCAGATACAAAAGCCTCTTATGCTCAGCACCAGTAGGTCTACAAAATCCAAAAGATGATGGAAATCATGATGTGGGAGGTACAAATGACTTGAAAAAAGTGGTCAATAAACTGATTCCAGACAGCACTGGGAAAGACATAGAAAATGCTTGCCAATCTATCTATCCTCTCTGTGATGTCTTCATCAGGAAAGTGAAAATGCTGAAGAAGCCAAGTTTGAATTGAGAAAACTTGTAGAGCTTCATGTTGAAGGTAGTAGCTCTGGAAAAGCTACTGGGGGTGAGACAGACACCAAAGTTGAATTAACTGATGGATATGAACCACAAGTCCAAGAATCTGTTTAAATTTCAGATTTTTAATAGTGACAGATAAAATTTCCTATTTGTGACCAAAAAAATGAATATTGGGTCAGCTCAGTGGTGCAGCAGTAATGTACTGCTCAAATGAAGTTGGATCCATATGAAAGGTCACCACAGGTTGGTTCCTTGGATAAAAACCAGATTATGTGATTCTAAATTTCCAGTTAATAAGAAATCAGACTGAATCTTTAGTTTGGGTCATGGTGGCAAATCTCAGAGAAAGAGCATGCCTTTCAGGGCCAAGTAGCCACTAGGTGTGTGTGTGCCCATGGTCCTGACTGACTGGAAAGGCTGGGGTAGGGTCAGGTGTGGGGGGATCATGGTATGAAACCTTGTTGAGCATGCTTGTCTTTCTCTCTTTCACTCTCATAAAAGAAATAATTTTTTCTTAAAAAGAAAAAAAAAAGACCATAAAACAACATTAGTGTGTTTGAGTTACCTACTTAGGAATTTTGAAAACACAAAGTCCAGGCCCAGCAGGTTGTGTGTGGTTAAGGTGCTGGACTCCCACATGGCTGACTGTGGGTCCAGTACCGAACCTGGCAGCTTGCTTTCTCACATTTCCTCTCTGGTGAGCACATGTGCTCTACAGTAAATTAATAATAAATAAAGCAAAATAATTAATTCTTAAAAAAACACATACACAGGGCCAACAGCTGGCTTGGTTGTTAAGGGCACTGAACTCCCACATGACTGACTATGGTTCGAGTCACAGACCTGTTGTCTGGCTTTCTCATTTTCCCACTCTCTCTCTCTCTCACTATATCTCTCTCTGGTTAAATTAAAATAAATAAAGTTAAATAACATAATTCTTTAAACACACACACTCACAAAGTCCAAGGCTCTATTCATTCCATTTGTGCAAAATCAGTCTCTGGCCAGGAGCTCCCAATCTACATCACTGTAGTTGGCTCCTCCCCTCCGCCTCCACTACCATTTTCAATGCCAGATATTCTCTGCTTCCAGTTGAGAGTCCAGAGAGGGGGAACCTGGTTGGAGGAACCTATGCTGGGCATAGGCCCTTGGTCAACCTATGTAACTAGCCACTCTGGGATCACTGCCCAGCCCTGAGCCAACCAACAGTCCCCTGTGCCTCTCTGCCTTTCTTCTCAGAAGGGCCTAGGCATGGGACAGTGTGCCCAGGTGGGAAAGGCAATTTCACAAACATCCTGTGGATCTCTTTTTGGAGAAAAAACAGATTATGTGATTCCAAATTTCTAGCTGATGAAAAATCAGACTGAATCTTTAGCTTGGGTCATGGTGGCAAATCTCAGAGAATGAGCATGGCTTTCAGGGCCAAGTATTCTGACAGAGAGAAATAAATATCCCATAGCCATCTAATAAACAACCACGGAGACAATTAGCACACACAACCTCTAGTAGCATGGCCTTTGGCCTCCCACAAATTTCAGAAATGTTACCTTCGCTCGTGTCAGGGTTTTAAGGAGTCCTTTTGTAAATCATTTTAGCAAATTAGCAGTTTGGAATACCACGCTCAGCGTCAGTGATCCTTGCCAACCTGATCCCGCTCAGTGAAAGCCATGCTCAGTCTTTTCGAGGCAGAGCATGCACGGTTTCTTCTTGCTGAAGTTTGGTCAGTGCAGTGGCGGTGAACTGAGGAGAGGCCTTGGTTGCGGAGCTGCAGGAGACTGGTGAACAAGGAGAAGCCTACATGTCCAGAGATGCAAGAAAAAAAGAGGAGATCAGGAAGAATGGAAACACCCTCCCTCCCTCAGCATCTCCAACTCCTTGCTGGGCTAATAGGATAACCACAACTCACCTGTGACCGTTTAAGTCGAAGTGAAATAGAATTTTAAAATACTTATTTATTTATTTATTTTAATTTGCTGTCTATCATGTGTGCTCACTAGAGAGAGAGAGAGAGAGAGAGAGAGACGAGAGAGAGACAGAGAGAAAGCAAGCCATCAGGCCTGAGTACACTGCTGTGCCCAGCCATGTGGGAGTCCAACACCTTAACCACCATGCCACATGCTGGCCCCAAGTGAAATATAATTTTAAAATTCAGTTCCTCAGTTGTGGTAGC